ACGACGAGGAAACAATCCTCAGGACCCGCTTCCCTCGGGTCGGCGGCGACCGAGGGGGGAAGTGAGAAGGAGAGGGCCTTCTCAGAAGGGTCGACAGTCCCCCGGCCTTCTGAGAAGTTTTCTCAGCATCCCCCGAGGACACAACAAACAGAGCCTGCTCAGAAGGCGCGGGGGCTTCCGAGAAGCCCCTTTTCCGCCTTCTGAGCAGGCCTGCTCCTTCTCATTTCCCCCTTCGCGCGCCGCCGATCATGACCCGTTGCTTTCCCTGCTGGCGGTGCGGCCGAAGCGTGCCCATCAAGCACGGACACGTCGCCGAAGGCACGTTTTCGGGCACAAGCAAAAAAAAGGAGGCCGTGGACGCGGCGCCCATGCCTTTGGGGGCGTGGGGCTCGCCCTGCTCTTCTCCCTGCCCCTCTGCCTCCTCCTCCTCCTCCTCATCCTCCTCCTCCTCTGCCTTTCCTCCTCCTCCTCCTCCTCCTCCTCCTCCTCCTCCTCGTCCTCCTCCTCCTCCTCTCCTCCTCCTCTCCTCCTCCTCCTCCTCCTCCTCCTCCTCCTCCTCCTCCTCCTCCTCCCCCCCCCCCTCTCTCGTGTCGGCAGGGGTCGACTCATCGAGGACAGAAGAGTCCCCGACCTTCATCATCAGCCGAGGAGGAGGAGGAGGAGGAGGAGGAGGAGGAGGAGGGCGGAGGAAGAGGAGGAGGAGGAGGAGGAGGAGGAGGAGGAGGAAGAAGAAGCTCTCGGCTCCCCTCGCCGGGTTCCGGGATCGGCGCCCAGGACCCCCCGAATCGACTAGACGTAAGAGTGACCTTTCGCCGGAGTGACCTTTGGTGCGGGCACGGTGGGGTTCCCCGATCGCCGGACGCGATGCGATAGTGGCGCCTTGCGCGCCCGTGTTTGGCCCCCCCGCGGCCCCCCAAAAGCCGCGCACCAAAGGTCACTCTTACCCAGGGTCACTCCTGCGTGTAGCCGACCGAATTCGGAGAAGAGAAAACCGCCATAGAAATCAGATGTTGGCGCTCCACGCGGATTTCTTGAATCCGCGCTGGGCCCCCCCCCCAGCGGCGCGTCCGGCCTCCGGCGGCAACCTCGGCGCGCTGCGCGCGCCGAGGGGGGGAAGGGTTCCGGCGCAGATCCCAGAAAGCCGCACGGAGCGTCGAAAGCTTATGTTTGCGCTTTTGTGCTGATCATTGTTATTATTATTATTATTATTATTAGTATTATTATTATGAGTATTATTATCACTATTATTATGGTTATGATTCGTATTATTATGATTAGTATTATTATTATTAATATTATTATTATTATTACTATTATTAATATTAGGATTATTATGATTACTATTCTTATTATCCCTATAGTTACGCTTTTGTGCTGATCATTAGTATTCTGCGTTCTCTTCTTCTGAGTCTTCTTCTGATTCTCCTTAATAACATACAGTCGAGCATCTGATTCAGACACCTCCTCCCGCAGAGCTGGGCCAGCGTTCCTTGACCGGCCTGCAGGAAAGCTGACGCAGCTTTTCGAGCACGTGTTGTGTGTGTGTGTTTTTGTTGTTGTTTGTTTCTTGTGTGCTTTTATATAAAGAAGAAATTGACCCAGGTTTGCTGTAGGAAGTTGTTGAGAAGCTGGCCCAGATTTGTTAAATAGAAGTTGCTTTATCATATTCTCGGTTTTAGTGAACACGTGGCCTCACTGAGGCCCCCGTCTTTGCATCAGGGAGAACAGATATGGGCGGCTCGGCTCGATACACCTGCAGAAAAGACCCCCTATCCCTATTGTTCTTGGCCCTCCTAACTCAGGCTGCCTCCCAAAAGGTTAGGGGATCTTTCATTGCAAATCATTGACCTTGGGCATTGAGAAACGCCCACCCAGACAAGTCAACAGGGTATCTGCATGGGTTCACGCGACATTGGCGCAAGAGTGTGCCAGTGCAGTCCCCGGTCGGTTTCGCTAATCGGGGTGCGTTTCGCCGAATGCATTGGGTTGTTTCTAGACGTCGAGTATTGATTTATTGGCTTACGCCGCGCCGCCGACCCCTTGGGGTGGCAGCAAGAGTGAAAGACAGAATTCGCGGAACGCGCGCGATCGCTGGGCAATCTTGGGGTTCTGGCCTGTCCTACTTAGCGTGTGGGGTTCAAGGGGGGGCCTTGTAGGGGATTGGTTTGAAGTTCTTCGCGGTTTTATGTGAGTTTCTTGGGGCCTTCACAGGGCCTTTCCCTGGCCTCCTTCTCCACCTCCTGGATAGGCTCGAGGATCGTTGAGACCCAGCTGGGGTTGCGTCCGGCCAGAAGTTCGAGAGTGGACCCAGCTGTGTCGACGAGGGGCTTCCTGAAGGCCCAGAGGGGGCGGAGAGCGCCCAAGAACTAGGAGTCTCATGCCTCGCCTCGATCCACCCCGTGTTCCTTCTTTTGCGAAGGGGTGGCACCGGCCAGGTAGGGCGATCCTCATCCCAGATTTTCGGCGGTGGTCCCCGGCACCGAAAACGGTTCCTGGAGGCTGAATTCGAGGAGATTCTTCCTCAGGTGGTCGAAGGACCACAAACATCTGTGAGACATCGGCGGCGACGACGATTTTTTGTTGTTGTGCGTCTTCCTCCTCTTCCTCCTCCTCGTCCTGCTCCTCTTCGTCTCGATCGAGGTAAATGCCCGCAGCAGTCCACACACACATATGTATATATATATATATACATACATACATACATACATACATACATACATACAGACAGACAGACAGACAGACCTACATACATAGCGACCTTCGGCATATCCCGCCACCGCGCCTTGGTTGTCGGCCTGAGATCCTTGGTGCCTGGTCTGCGGGTTAGAGGTTACATGCCTCAAGTGGAACTTGGGTTTTCTTTTTGAGCTTTTTGGGGAGCCTCTTTGGGCCGCTTGGGGGGCCTCTTGGGGCCTCTTGGGGGGCCTCTTGGGGGCCTCATGGGCCCTGTTGGGCGCCTCCTGGGCCCCCTTCTGGGGCCGTTTTGGGGAACAAGGCTCGGATTTATGGTTCAGGCTCCCCCTCTTGGGTCCCTATTTGGGCTGTTTTGGGGCACTCTTGGGCCGTCTTGGGAGCCTCTTGGGCCGTCTTGGCGCCCTCTTGGGCCGTTTCGAGCGCCTCTTGGGAGCCTCTTGGGCCGTTTTGGGGCGGTCTTGGGGGACTGCGGGGCCGTCTTCAACGCCGTGAAGACCGAAACGTCGCGCATGATAAAGATGTGCGTTTTTTTTTGTCATCGGAATTCGGCGATTTGGGCCTCTGGGGCCCCTCTTGGGGATGTTTTTGGAGGCTTCCTGGGCCGTCTGGGAAGCTTCTGGGGCCGTCTTGGGGCCATTCTGGGCGTCTTGGGCCGACCTTTGGGTGTCTCGGGGGCCTCTTGGGCCGTCGTGGGGGCTGCTTAGAGCCCTCTGGGGCCTCGTGTCCTGGAAGACGCGGCTATTTCTTTGAGCCGCGTTTAGCCGGGACGTTGCTCTCGCTTCAGCGCGGTGTGAGAGTGATTAAACTTACAAGTTTTAGCCATGAGTAGCAGCGGGGGGTTCTCGTTTGGGCGGACATGTTTAAAACAGTGCCGTGCCAAAAAAAAAGTCCGTGTCTAAACGTGGTTACTCGCGGATGAAATTGATGTAATGCCGTGGCTACTTCGTGGTTAAACGTTGCTAGAGTCCAATCACGTTGAAGGGCGACCCAGACGGGGGAAACGCCAACCACCGCTCCCCGCACGACCCAGGAAATTGATTCAAAAGACGAAGCAAGCCATGGCGCCTGCATTCGACGGGGAGGCGTGGGGGATGCATGGCCAAAAGGGGGCTACAAGAGAGTCGCGAGGAAACCCCAAGGCCTCTTCATCCTCCTCTTCCTCCTCCTCCTCCTCCTCCTCCTCCTTTTCCTTCTCCCCCTTCTGCTCGTTTTCGTCCGCTTCCTTCTCGTCCTCCTCTCCTCTTCCCCCTCTTTTCCCTCCTCCTCGTCCTCCTCCTCATTATCCTTCTCGTCCTCGTCCTCCTCGCCCTCCTCCTCGTCTTCGTCCTCTTCCCCCCCTCGTGTTCCTCATCCTCCTCGTGCGCGTCCTCGTCGCAGTCCGCATCCTCGTAAGATGTCTGCAAGAGTCCTCTCTTCCTCCGCATTTTATCCGTCCTTATCGTTATCCTCCTCCTCGTATTCGTCCTCTTTCTCGTCCTTGTCTTCATCGTCGTCCTCCTCATTTTCCTCTTCCTCGTCGTCGTCGTCCTCGTCCTCCTCCTTGTCCTCCTCCCCTTCCTCCTCCTTCCCTCCCGTCCGCGCGGGCCTCAGAGATGGCCCGAGCAGGCCCTCCAAGGCCACCCCTGTTCGCAGAGATTATCTTAGTTCACCATGGTTGCCCGCACTGTTTCACTATATGTGTCTTTTCCTCCCGTGCCCAACCAGCTCTGATGGACAACGTTTCTGAATCGGCCTGTGGGGATACGCGACACGTAAGGCATGGTCCATCGGCCAAGACGCATCTTGGGCGCGAGGCACAGGACATGTCGTGGACAGTTGCAGATGATGATCGCCGTTGTCACTTAATACTGATAGCAGTCGTTCGCGCATGCTCGGATTAGAAAACGATTGCGTGTTTATGTTAAGCCTACACGTGGCTAGATTTTAGGCATGCAAAACGCTCGTTGGTACCCATGACTAAACATGGCTAAACGTGACAACAAGTGGTTACATGTGGCTAAAATGCATGGCGTGGCTATTGTGTGGCTATTCGTGGCGAATCATGTTTAAAATCGTGGCTACAAGTGTCTAAGCGTGTCTAACATGTCAAAAATGTTCTCCGTGCTTCTAACAAGCCCCATCGAACATTTGTAAATCATATGATGCGCGGACATGAAAATAGACACGACCAGACACTTGAAAATCGCAGACACTACCGCGCCAGAGGGGCCCCAGAATAGCCACGAGGCTTTGTCTTCCAGGGTGGGGCCTGATGACACCGTTGCCCCACCCCCACCCCCCTCCAAACCGGCCAGACCGGGCTCCCAGGGGGAGGGGTTCAGGGAGGAGGAAGCATCTCACACGCTGCGACCTCGAGGGGTCGGCGGATTCCGCCCAGGAGCACTCGGAATGTGGTGCCGCGCGCACTCCACGGCTACGGCCACCCAGGAGATTTTGCTACGGGATCAGGAGTCACCCCAGGCTTGCAGCTCAGGAGCCAGCAGCTTCAACCCCCTTGTACGGACAACCAGTGGGCGCCTGGCCCGACGAGACCGCGAACGAGCCCAAGCCCTTCGCCGCAACCCCCACCCCTATGACACATACTACCATCAACCTGTCCGTCTACGTCTACGTCGACGACATCCTCGCGATCCACGATCCCAACCAGAGCACAGCGTGGCCTCGGAGGCCACCCCCAAACCACGGCAGCGATCCCCTCGACAATCACTTGCAGTTCCACGGGCGCCGTCAGACCCGGCAGGAAGTAGAGCTAGTTGAAGACCTCCTAGCCAGGAGGGGTAAACGTCACTTGCAGTTCCACGGGCGCCGTCAGACCCGGCAGGAAGTAGAGCTAGTTGAAGACCTCCGAGCCAGGAGGGGTAAGCGTCTCCTACCACAAGACGTGCAAGGGCGAGTGCTGCGCACCATGAAGTACCTCGGCGGTCACTTTCACCCACCACGGAGGCAGCAACGCAGTCGAGATTTACCCAAGAACCCACAGCCCGAAGCGCGCATGGAGCAGTATGGGTAAGTGTTGGCATCGGCGAGTCCCTTGGTTGAAGCGCATAGCCAAATACTTGCGCGCGTCGACGCAAGGACGGGCCATCGAGGACAACGACGTGCACGAGACCGTGAGTAACACAGGCACGCTCAAGCAATGCGCGATATCACCATTGTTTATCTGGGTGAGAGCACGACGCTTTCGCATGGTTCAAGCTTCATGTCTGTACCGCGCGGACTATGACAGTGGATCACCGCGCTGTTCGGCCGACACCCATCGTGAGTAGGAGGGCGAGCTCACCGAGAATTGCTAAATCACCGAGACGGGCAACCCGCGGGCTCAGCAGCCTCACCAGGACGTCCTCTCGAATCTGGAGACCGGCGATGCGAAGCAGTTCAATTATGCATTGATTAGCAGTATCACGCAATTGCATCGTGACGCGGGGGTCTCTGAGACGTCCATCTGCACCGACGCGGCAGAATCGAGGGCCAAATCTTCAGCAGTTCCTATACCCCCTCCTGGACTCGAGCCAGAGCCTGGAGAACCTCGAGCAGGAGACGAGCCGGGCGCATTAAAGAGTGAGCCAGGGGATGCCTGTCCCATAATGATCAGGAGGAAAAGGAAACACACAGACACAATTGATCGTCCACTCCCAGGAAAACATGGGAAAATATGGGAAGTGGGGGGGGGAGACAAAAACCCAGAAAATATTGGAAAATATTGGGAATCCTTTTATTTGTGTGCATGTGTTTGTGTGTCCCCTGGCCCCTTCAAGTATCCTCGACGCGTGCAGCGCTGTGCACCCGCCGGGCCGCGGCAACAGGAGGAGGGCACGGGCTGCGACCAGAGGCAGCAGCAGTTCCAGCTACCAGGCAGTGCACGGCGCCGCGTGCCTTTCTTGGTGGGGCCCAGACTAGGGGAACGAAAGGTGACATAAACATAAAAACTCGGAGGTCGGCGCTGGACCCCCCTCCCTGGCGCGCGGAGCGCGCCAGGGGCGGCCCCAGAGGCGCCGCCGGGGGGTCCCAGCGCCGATCCGAGAAATCTGCGCGGTCCTCCGAGTTTTTATGTTTATGCTACCTTTTGTTCCCCTGCAGACAGAAGATTCGGTGCTGCGTTCTCTCAAACATAACCGTTGTGCTCGGCAGGCAGCGCCCGTCTCGGATATACCTCGCTTGTTCAATTGCTGATCCAGTCTGTCATCGATGTCCAGACCTGCGGCCATTCTTGCTTACCTCCGCTGTGTAAGGCTTCTGTCTGCGCATTGCACTTACCAGCTGAAGAACACGGTAGATCACAGGACGTGGGCCTCTGTCATGACGACGCGCTGCGTGCCAGACAAGAAGGCAGCCGACGAGGTGACCATCAGCGCGGGCGACACCGAGCACAGCAGCAGTACCCGGAAGACCAGCCACGGAGGCAATGGCAAAAAAGGGGCGCCCGAAGGGGGCCGAGGACGAGGGCGCGGAGATGACGGCATCGGAGCCGCGGCATTTTCGGCAGGGGCCGCAGGAACAGCACGAGCAGCCCTGGTAGGGTCTGCGCGAGGAGTCAGGCCTAAGCGCGGGGGAGAGGTAGACCATGCCAAAGTCGACCCCGAGCAGAAGAAGCATCTCACCGTCCTCGTCAAGCAGGCTTTGGCCAACATCCAACAGGTGGCATGGAGCCCGGCGGCAGTCTACAGCACCTACATCAGGCCAGTCCAGAGCAGCACTATCAGAGCGCCCCGGGTGCGCAGGAACATGTATGCAGACAAGTGCAAGGAGGCAGGTGGAGGTCACACTTCTGGGCCGCCCAACGGACATCTCTACGCGACACTTACGTCGTCCCTCTTTGTCGCGGACGTCGGCGGCAAAACGAGGGCCGTCCCGACAGAGCACGGCAAAACATGCTCAACAGAGTGAAGCACATTCGCCTCAGCAAGTGCTACGACGACAACCAGGCGAAGCTGACGATCTTCATCGGGGCGGGCCCATGGTCGAACGCGGAGACGGAGGAGGAATCCAGCGAGGAGCAGAACACACAGGCCACCATCAAGGACACGATTCGTCCAACCTTCCTCCACGTGGAGGCCGTGGTGAAGGAGGACAAAGCACCAAAAGGAAGTAATGGAGGATGAGCTCGCAGGCTTAAGACGCGGGAGTGAGAGCGAACAGGCTGGTCACGTACGCCATGTTCCGTAAAAGGCTCGGCGCGCGCGGCGCCGCGGAGTTAGTAAAGATGCCGGCCTCCTCCGCCGCCTCCCCTTCCTCATCTTCCTCCTCCTCCTCCTCCTCCTCGTCTTCCTCCTCCTCCTCCTCCTCCTCCTCCTCCAGTTCCTCCTCCTCCTACTTGTTCTACGCTCGTCTCTTCCTCCTCCTCCTCCTCCTCCTCCTCCTCCTCCTCCTCCTACCCCTCTTCCTCCAGTTCCTCCTCCTCGTTCCCCTCCTCCTACAGTTCCTCCTCCTACTCGTCTTCCTCCTCCAGTTCCTCCTCCTCCTCCACTTGGCATTCGAAGTTCTGGGGCATCTTTTTTTGCTATGTATTAATGTACGAAAATCATCCACATGGACTAGGGTCAAGCTTCTCTTCCTCCTCCTCCTCCGCCCCATCCGTCCGAGGAACAACCCCACCAGAAGGTCACATTGGGCGCCACGAGCCCCCATGGCAGACAACACAGATGAGACAGGATTGGAAAGACAAGAAACAGGAAGCACGATACGAAAACAAAACATGATCTCTCGGAGGTCCGCACGGATTTCTTGGATCGACGTTGGCCGCCCCTGGCGCGTTCCGCGCGACAGGATGAGGGGTCCACCGCCGATTCAAGAAATCTGCGTGGACGTCCGAACAATTTCGCACGGGATAAGAGAAGAAAGAGCAGCACGGCTATAACCACCAGCGAGACAGCAGCCCAGAAGAGGTCTTCGCGGCCTGCCGCCGCCACAGAGGGGCTGGCGGACCCCAAACCTTCGCAGGATATAATGGGTGCTGGAGTTTCGGACAAGATCGCTTCAATTCAGGATGCCTTCGTTTGCGATCCAGAATCCCCTGCATGGGCATCCAACGTGGTATTTCCCAACCATCCTGTGGTGTTGGGTCTTCGTTTTGAAGAGACGGTGCCCCGCGTTCCTCTCCTCTCCTCCTCCCTCCTCCCTCCCCCTCCTCCCCCTCCTCTCGCTTCCCTGCGTTTGTTTCACCCACCCAGTACAGCGCTTCGTGGCCCCATAGGGAGCCCCACCGAAGGACCCAGTGCTACCGCCCGCATGCGTCCCGCACACCCAGTACAGCGTTTCGTGGCCCCCTCCTCCCTCCTCTCTGCGTTTCACCCACCCAGTAATGCGCGTCGTGGCCCCATAGGGAGCCCCACCGAAGGTCCCAGTGCTACCGTCCGCATGCGTCCCGCACACCCAGTGCAGCGCTTCGTGGCTACAGGCCGCCCGCGGCCCGCACACCCAGTACAGCGCTTCCTGGCCCCATACGAAGCCCCACCGACGGCCCCAGTCGGACCGTCCGCACCAGCTCCGAAAATCCAACTTGGCATTTTCACCCACCCAATACAGCGCTTCGTAGCCCCGTAGGGAGCGACCGAGACCCCCAGTGGGACCGCCCGCATGCGCCCCACACATCCAATTGGCATTTCCACCCACCCCGTAAAATGTTTTGTGGCCCCACAGGGAGCTCCACCGAAGCCCCCAGTGGGACCACCCGCGCGCGTCCCACACGCCCAATGTGGCACTATTTCACCCACCCAATACTGCGTTTTGTGGCTCCGTAAGGGAGCTCCACCGAAGGCCCCAATGCCACCGTCCGCACGTGGCCCGAATGCTGAATTTGGCATTTACACCCATCCAGTGCAGCGCTTCGTGGCCCCATACGTTTCCTGGATCCGTAAAGGGGTTCCACCGAAGGCCTCATTGGGACAGCCAGCATGCGTCCCGAGAATCCAAGTTGGCATTTGCACCCACTCAATACAACGCTTCGTAGCCCCATAGGCAGCCTCACCGAAGCCCCCAGTGGGACCGCCCGCATACGTCCCAGAAACCCAATTTCGCATGTTCACCCAATACGGAGCTCCACCGAAGCCCCCAGTGGGACCGCCCGCGTGCGTCCCACACACCCAATCTGGCATTATTTCACCAACCCAATACTGCGTTTCGTGGCCCCGTAGGGAGCTCCACCGAAGGCCCCAGTGCCACCGTCCGCATGCGTCCTGACAACATAATTTGGCACTGTCACCCACCCAACACAGCGTTTCCTGGCCCCATAGGGAGCTCCACCGAAGCTCCCAGTGGAACCGCCCGCATGCGTCCCACACACACCCAATTTTGCATTATCCGCCCCATCCCGTAGAGTGTAGTACAGTGTTTCGTGGCCTTATAGAGAGCTCCACCGACGGATCCGGTCGGACCGCCCGCGAGCGTCCCACACACCCAATTTGGCGTTTTCACCCATCCAGTACAGCGCTTCGTGGCCCCATAGGGACCTCCACCAACGGCCCCAGTGCTACCGCCCGCATGCGTTCCCCCCACCCAGTGCAGCGCTCCGTGGCCCCATAGGGAGTTTCACCGAAGAAGGTATTCACAATTGCGGTACCCACAACTGCAGATGGTTGGGTCCGTGGACATTTCGACACATCCCTTCCCGAGGGTTGTGTTGCTCGTCTTCGGCAGTTTTCGTTGACAACGCCTGGCGATGATGCAGTGGCCTTCGGTTCATCCCGCCACCGCACCCAGGTTGTAGGTCAGAGGCCTATTGGATGCCTTTGGGAATCTTTTGGGAGGCCCCTCGGACGCCGCTTGGCGGGCGATGTTGGGTGTGTCTTGGGCCTTCTGGGGCCTACTTCGGCTTTGGGGGGGTGGGGGGGCGGTGTCGGTGGTGGTCTTGGGCCGGAGGGCTCTACATGCAGGTTCATGCTCCCCCTGTTGGGGCCCTCTTGGGCAGTCTTTTGGCCATCCTGGGCTGTCCTGGGGCCCTCTTGGCCCGTCTTCGAGGCCTTCGTGCCTCCGCTGCAGTCATGCGAGAGCACGCGCCGGCACGCGGCGCGACCCAGGAACTCCACCAATTCGGGGCCAGGGCCCCTAAATATTCAATATGCGAGGAATGAGGATGGGAAGCCGCAGGGACCTGACGACACTCCTACTCGCACCTCGAGGCACGGTGGTGGGGAATAGGAGGGACGGCAAATAGTCAGCATTTCGCCTTCTTCGTGAGACACGGGGGTCTGGGGAGGTGCGGGCGTGTGGATTCTATCGTATCTATCCACAGCCCGCTGGCATTCCAGACACAGTCGGTCTGAATCGATTTCTATCATCGAGAAGCATGCCTGGACCATTTCAGGCATAGATCGCCCCGGATCAGCCGTTGCCGCCTCCACGAGGTATTCCGTCACAGGTGCGCCTCTCGGAGCCAGGAACAGTTTCATTGTACAATGTTATGTTTGCTCACCACTTGATGGCAAATTGCGGCCCCAGCACATTGTTTTTGTCAACGCCCGTCGCCTTGCAATCTGGCCAGAAAGTTATACACTATACGTTGTCCTGTGGTTTGTCTGCGAAGCCCCATGGGACAGGGCCCAGATACCTTGGCGTACGTGCGTACGGCTTACAAAACCCTTCTCCCCTGCTGCGAGATGTTGCCGTCCATGCGGCCCACCGGCCGGCCGCGCCAGGGCTACGACTCCCCCCGCAACAGCCTTGTCGCCCGCCCCGGCGCCGCCGCGGGCTGGGAGCGCATCAACGCCGTTGCGGCCGCGCCGCCAGGGCTGGCGCCAACTCCGGGGAGCAAAAGCCGCAGACGCGCTAACGGCAATGTAGGTTTCGGCATTGTAGAGGTGGACTGGTTCGTGGCCAAACCAACTGTAGGACACTGTGGTTCGTGCTTTCCTGCACTCCCCTTCGTCGTTTTCGCTCGACAAATTCGCACATTTGAGATGTAGGAAAGTGTGCTTCGTGATTTCCGATAATTTGTTCTGCGCGAGCTCGGTGGCACAAAAGAAACATATTCCCAACATCGCCGTTGACCAACATCGCTGTTAGCGCGGCCTTGGACAAGCCTCCTGCATCCCCAGACATGCAACGTCTTGACAAACATCAGAACGGGCGGTTTTTGACCGTTTTCGACTTCTGGGGGCCCTCGCTGGGCCCCGGGCCCGTCAAAGATTACGATGGAAAGCCGGTCCCAGGGCATGGGTTAAGATTTCCAGGGAGCGCGCATCGAAAAAGGCAAGACATCGCATGTCTGGATTCCTGAGATCCGACGATGCAGAAAAGTACACATCGCGAGAAAGCACGACCGCAGCCCTAGACCCCATCTTTCTGCGTCATTTGTCGAGCCAGATCGGTCAGCGAAGGTCCTTGGGCCGAAATGGGGCGAAAACGCCCAGCGTAAAACGAATACAGCGCCCATATCTACGGGTCCCCCACGCATCCGACGGACGCCTCTCCAAAACATCGCGGCGGGGGTTCTGCCAGTTGTTCTGCCTCCAGGGGCGGCAGTTTTGAGGCTCCGGGGCCGTCAAAGAACGGCACACATGGACGAGAACATGGCGAAGATGGCGACGACGGCGGCCTCGGAGGCCACTGAGGCCAGGCCACCTGAGACTTCTGGAGACCCTGGGAGCCTCGGTCCTCGATCGGCGACGACGACGACGGAGACGACGACGACGACAATAGTGGCGAGGACGACAGAGACGACCTCCAGAAGCCTTTCTGGAGACCCAGGCGGGGCCGAAGAAACCTTCGAACCTAGATTATCGAGCCTCGTCTCGATCGACGATGGGGACGACGACGACGAGGGACCAAAGCGGCGTCGCCGCTTCAGAGGCCCCTGAGGTCATGGCCCCTGAAGCTTCTGGAGATCGAAGGAGGGCAGAAACGTAGAACAACCTCGATCGGCGACGACGAGGACGACGAGGAAGACGTCGACGGCGAAGACGATGGCGGCGAGGACGACAGCGACGACCTCCAGAAGTGCCTCGAGATCCTCGGAGATCTTGGAGGCCTCCGGGGACCCAAACCAGGCCGAAAAAGCGGTCGGCCCTCGGTCGACGACGAGGGCGGCGGCGGCAGCGAAAACGACGCCGACGACGCCGACGCCGACGACGACGCCGACGACGACGACGAGCGGCGGCGGCGACGACGGCGACGACCACGGCGACGACGACGACGACGACGGCGAAGAGACGACGGCGGCCACGGCGACGACGGCGACGGCGGCGGCGAAGAGACGGCGGCCACGGCGCGCCGAGGTGCGCCGCCCGGGGCAGGTGCAGAGCCGGCGCTGCTCTGGCGGCGAGGGCACGGCCGCCGCGTCGGAGCCGGCGGCCAAGAGGGTACGGTAGGTTCATGCGGCGTTGGCGCGCCGGCTACGACAGCGAAGACGTTCAAGGTTGAATTCTGTGACGCGGACGCATCGAGGGACACGGCGACGCCATTGGACCCGACGGAATTCAACCTTGAACGATCGGAGCTGCGATCGATTCAAGGTTGAACGATCGACGAGGTGTCAAAAACCTCTGCGCGCGCCAACGCCGCACGAACCTACTGTAGCCGGCTCGGCCCAACCCCTGGATCAAGCAGCGGCGAAGCGTCTCGGCTCGCCTATAGCCCTGCCAAACAATGGTCTGAGAACCTGTTGTGGTTTCCACGAGATGTTCTTGGAACATTTCTGGCGGAGTCTATCCTGTTTAACGCATCGGGCTCATGTTCTAAGAACATTGTTTTGTTCTGAGAACATTTCTGGGGTCTAAGAACATTTCGTCAGGAGGGGAAAAAACACACAGACACAATTCATCGTCGCTTCCCAGGAAAAAATCTGAAGATATGAGAAAAGTGGGGGGGGGAATAGACAAGAGCCCAGAAAATCTGCGAAAATCTGGGGAGTCTCGTTGTTTGTGTGCATTGCTTTGTGTGTCTTTGGGCTCCTTGACCCTGGACCTTCGACCCGAACCCCCTCGGGCAGCGAAAGATCATGGCGGGAGGTTTCTCCGAATCTTCGGCGTGCGGAGGCCATGTGTAACCGGCCTTCGGGGCCGTCCAAAAACGATTCGGGATGGAAAGCCGGTCCCGGGGAACGGGTCGAGATCTCTGGGGGTCGACGTCAAGAAAAGATCATGACGTCGGAGGTCTGGGCCCCCGAGACCTTCGACGCTGTGCTCCGTTCCATCCTCAGGATTCTCCCCAGGCAACCAGCGTCTCGGAAAGTTCGGGACGTAATAATATCAGCTTGGCGAAGGACCCAACCAGATGTAGTTGTTAATACCGCAATTATGGGTATCGTTTTCGGTGGAGCTCCTTATGGAGCTACGAAGCGCTGCACTGGGTGGGGGAGACGCATGCGAAGCTTGCCTCTGGGGCCTTCGGTGGAGGCAATGGGTGGGGGAGACGAATGCGAACTTTGCCACTGGAGCCTCCAGTGGAGCTCCCTATGGGCCACGAAACGTTGTGCTGGGTGGGGGAGACGCATGCGGACTTTGCTGGGTGGGGGAGACTCATGCGGACTTTGCCACTGCGGCCTCCAGTGGAGCTACCTATGGGCCACGAAACGTTGTGCTGGGTGGGGGAAACGCATATGGACTTTGCCAGTGGGGCCTTCGGTGGAGCTCTCTATGGGGCCACGGATCGGTGGGGCTATGGGGCCGCGGAACGCCGTACTGGGTGGTGCGTGACGCATGCGGGCGGTGGCACTGGGGCCGTCGGTGGAGCTCCCTATGAGGCCACGAAACGCTGCTCTGGGTGTGCGAGACGCCTGAGGGTGGTCCCACTGGATCTTCGGTGGGGCTCCCTATGGGGCCACGAATCGTTGTACTGGGTGGGGGCGACGCATGCGGGCGGTCCCACTGGGGCCGTCGGTAGAGCTCCATATAGGGCCACGAAGCGCTGTACTGGGTGTGCGGGACGCATGCGGGCGGTCCCACTGGGACCTACGGTGAAGCTCTCTATGGGGCCACGAAGCGCTGTACTGGGTTGTGCGTGACGCATGCGGGCGGTCCCACTGGGACCTACGGTGAAGCTCTCTATGGGGCCACGAAACGCTGTACTGGGTTGTGCGTGACGCATGCGGGCGGTGCCACTGGGACCTACGGTGAAGCTCTCTATGGGGCCACGAAGCGCTGTACTGGGTTGTGCGTGACGCATGCGGGCGGTCCCACTGGGACCTACGGTGAAGCTCTCTATGAGGCCACGAAACGCTGTACTGGGTTGTGCGTGACGCATGCGGGCGGTGCCACTGGGACCTACGGTGAAGCTCTCTATGGGGCCACGAAACGCTGTACTGGGTTGTGCGGGCGTTCCCAGTGGGGCCGTCTGTGGGGCTCCCTGTGGGGAAACGAATCGCTGTACTGGGTCGTGCGTGGCGCATACGGGCGGTCCCACTGGTGTGGAGCTCCCTATGGGGCCACGAAACGCTGTACTGGGTGGTGCGTGGCGCATGCGGGCGGTGCCACTGGGGCCGTCTGTGGAGCTCCCTGTGGGGAAGCGAACCGCTGTACTGGGTGGTGCGTGACGCATGCGGGCGGTCCCATTGGGGCCTTCGGAGGAGCACCCTATGGGGCCACGAAGCGCTGTACTGGGTGGTGCGTGACGCATGCGGGCGGTCCCAGTGGGGCCGTCTGTGGAGCTCCCTATGGGGCCACGAAACGCTGTACTGGGTGGTGCGTGACGCGTGCGGGCGGTCCCATTGGGGCCTTCGGTGGAGCTCCCTATGGGGTCACGAAACGCTGTACTGGGTGGTGCGTGACGCGTGCGGGCGGTCCCATTGGGGCCTTTGGTGGAGCTCCCTATGGGGCCACGACGCGCTGTACTGGGTGGTGCGTGACGCATGCGGGCGGTCCCACTGGGACCTTCGGTGGAGCTCCCTATGGTGCCACGAAACGCTGTACTGGGTGGTGCGTGGCGCATGCGGGCGGGGCCACGAAACGCTGTACTGGGTGGTGCGTGACGCGTGCGGGCGGTCCCATTGGGGCCTTCGGTGGAGCACCCCATGGGGCCACGAAACGTGTGAGGGGTGTGCTGAAACGGGTGATGTTGTTGATGATGATGATGATGATGATGATGATGATGATGATGATGATGATGATGATGATGATGCTGCTGATGATGATGATGATGATGATGACGATGATGCTGATGCTGATGCTGATGCTGATGCTGCTGCTGCTGATGATGATGATGACGACGATGAGGAGGATGGGAGGCGGAGGAGGAGGAGGAGGAGGAGGAGGAGGAGGAGGAGGAGGAGGTGGTGGTGATGATGATGATGATGATGATGATGATGATGATGATGATGGTGGTGATGATGATGATGATGCTGATGATGATGATGATGATGATGATGATGATGATGATGATGATGATGATGACGATGATGATGATGATGAGGGAGGAAGGGGAGGAGGGAGGAGGAGGATAGGAACGCGGGGACCATCTCTTCAAAACGAGGACCCACCACCACAGGATGGTTGGGAACAAAAGACAACAGCAAACAAACACGTAGGAATTCTGCCCCCCCCCAAGACAGAGCGGAGAAGGGCTGGGCCAGGGAACGGACGGCGCCCGCCCATTCCCAGAGAGGGTTGCTCGGGAGCCGAGCTCGACTTCAGGAAAGACCACGGGAAAGAATGGCGTGTCCTCTGCACACGCCGAGGTCGACCTCCAAGAGCACGCCGTCATGACTTCCCCCATGGTCTCCCCGAGGGAAGGGCCAGCGGGGCGGGTGTCGGCTACACGTAAGAGCGACCTTCTGTCAGAGCGACCTGTGGTTTCCTTTGGTCGGAGGTGGATCGAGCTTCTACTCTGACACGTCGATTAAGGAATTGGCCGTTTTCGGTTCGCGAGAGGGCGTCGCGGCCGTCCTTTTTGCGGGTCCAGGTCCGTCGGTTTCGGTCCCAGGCCGTTTTCACTAGGGGGAGGTTTACAAAAGGGAGGTTTGTCCACCGCCGACCAAGACAGAGGGGAGAAGGGCTGGGCCAGGGAACAGACGGCGCCCGCCCATTCCCCCAGAGGGTTGCTCGGGAGCCGAGCTCGACTTCAGGAAAGACCACGGGAAAGAATGGCGTGCCCTCTGCACACGCCGAGGTCGACCTCCAAGAGCACGCCGTCATGACTTCCCCCATGGTCTCCCCGAGGGAAGGGCCAGCGGGGCGGGTGTCGGCTACACGTGAGAGCGACCTTCTGTCAGAGCGACCAGGGCTGGACCGAAACGGTGTTTTGGCGATTTCGTGGGCCATTTTCGCTTCGACTTCGCTTTGCGGTGGAGGTGGATCGAAGACAAGACGAGGGAGAACGACATCAAAACGGAAACGAACACCACCGTTTAGGTTCAGCCTTGGGAGCGACTTGTGGTTTCAACGGCACCGCAACGGGTACTTACTAACGGGTACTGTTGCAAGTTTGCCGAAAGCCGCCACTTCAGGGCCTCTTTCTGGCAACGCAGCGTTGCCCGCATCGGGAAGGGTTGGATTCGCTGGGTCACTGGCCAAAGTACCTGTTATCGGGGCTCAAGAGATGGGGGTCAATGCAAACGGGGTTCAGCCAGAGCGTCGGATTTTGCAGGATCCTGCAGGGCCAGGGTCGCATTGACCCGGGTTTGGGTGCAGGGTCCTGCAGGATCCTGCAGGATCTGTCGCATTGACCCGGGTTTGGGCGCAGGATCTTGCAGGATTTTGCAGGATTCTGCAAGGCCTGAGTGACCCGGGTCTGGATTAACCCGGGTCAGTGAGTCCCCGATGTTCGTGGAGTCCCCGTTTGATGGGCGCTGATGGTTTCCTCTGGTGCGCGGTGCTCGAGGGGCGCAGGGCGGCCGGGCCCCGGCGCGCAGGCCGCCGCATGCACCGATCGGCCAGCCGCGCACCAAAGGGTCGCTGCCGCCCGGGTCCGTGAGCAGGGCCCATCTCGATTCCTCCGATGCGATTCGATTCGCTTTCGATGGCTCCCGATTTCGATTCGATTCGACGTTGGGTTCCGATTTGGGCTCCGATTCCTCTCTGGAGGCCTACTAGCCTGCCGGTGTACGCCGATTCGACTTTTCCCGACTCGGCTGCCGATTGCCGCCGATCCGATCCATTTCGATCGCCGATCCGACTCATCGATTCGATTCTGGGCTCTGCTGTCCGTGGCCAAGTTCTCTCTCAAGATCGCACCGCTGTGCGAGAGCAGTAACACTCTTACTCTTCTCGGAGGCCAAGAGGTTGAGACCAACACCAATATCGGCGGTGTGCCTCCACCGATGGTCGAAGATCCCGATCTCGGTGATGGTGGTAATAGTCTGGCTTCCTAGGCGGCCGAAAAGTTGCCACCAACACCGAAATCTAGGATCATCTTCCCCTGGTGGAGGCACCCCCCTGTGTTGGTGCCAATTTCCAAGCCTCCAATCTTCGTCTGTATATAGATCAAGAAAGCTGATACCGTAGCTGTCGTTTTAAGCCTGCGTGCCGTAGAAATGGTCTTCATCAGGCTTCTCAACTTGACGACATCGTGCCTGCTGCAACTGGCTGCCGGCATACAGTCATACACGTTCCTGGGACAGGAGGCCCAGCCCATTGCTGTCGACCCAGCCTCGTGCCTCGAGGCCGTCATCGTGGAGCCACGAAAGCTTCGAACCATCGCGACAGCGCTCGAAAGTGCAGCGCTTTCGAATAACGCCGACTTTGATCTGCTTACTATTGCTGTGGGGGATGAGAACGGAGAGTACGTCAAGCAATTGGTCCAAAACAGCTCAGTTTTGCTCAAGCTGCGCATGCAGGGCCTCCTGCGATTCCGGAAGCTCCCGTTCAGAGACCTTGGCGGCAACAGTTTCGACGGTACGAATCGAACCGCCAATCCTCGAGGGCACCATGATCAGTACAGCCGTGTGTTGATGAGCGCAGAGTTTTGGGAAGGTTTCACCTGCAATCGCATCCTGCTTATGCAGAGCGACACGGTGCTGTGTTCCAACTCGAATGTGAAGTTATCTGACTATTTCAAATACGAGTACGTGGGAGGCCGCACTCACAATTTGGACAAGAAGTATTTCCCTGGCAGGAGGCACTTGAATGGGGGGCTTTCGTTTCGAAACCGACTCGGCATGCTCCGATGCATCAAGTCGTTGGCATCTTATCCAGATGATGTTCGGCTCTGGCTCGATCAGCTCCCAGAGGACGGCTTCTTCTCCAATTGCAAGGAGTTGGAGCAGCCTTCTGGCCCAGTTCTGCGCCGTTTCGCGATCGCTTCCGGGAGCTTCGAGATGGAGCCGGACCAGGTGCCCTTCGGCGTCCACAGCCCATGGCAGGAGTCCAGCTGTAAGGGGTGCAGCAAGTCTAATCTGCAGCACTGCGTGGGCGCCATCAAGCTCCTCCAGGACACAAACCCCAGGCGTGCCAGGAAGATCATGAAGTCTCTGAAGCTGGGGAAATGGCGGTGATTCAAGGGGCTCAGTTACTGCAACATCGAGGTCTTGGAATGACCGCCCCCGCTCACTGTTCGGCCCGTTTTGGGCCTGGCATGGCGGGATGTACCACCAGCCATCTTGCAGTTGGCAGGCGTTTTCGCTCGCAAACATCATGTTGACTCGGGCGCTCCCCACCAAAATTCTTGACGCTTCGCGTCTCCCCACCAGCCCATCCAGAAACGACGCCCAGGCGAGTAGAGGTGATCAAGGAAGCGTGGCAGCATACAGAGGAACAGCTTGCTGGGGGGGCCGTCGTACCCCAAGGGGGGGGGATGGAGGAGGAGTCGGAGGCGGAAGAGGAGGAGGATGATGAGGGGGAGGAGGGAGGAATGAGGAGGAGGAATAGGCGGATGATGATGTTGATGTTGATATTGATGATGCTGATGATGACGATGATGGTGGTGGTCTTGATGATGGTGATGGTGATGGTGATGGTGATGGTGATGGTGATGGTGATGGTGATGGTGATGGTGATGATGATGATGATGATGATGATGATGATGATGCTGATGATGATGATGATGATGATGATGATGCTGATGATGATGATGATGGTGATGATGAGGGGGAGGAGGAGGAGGAGGAGGATAAGGCGATCAGAAGAGTCAAAGGCCTTCTGAATGCCTCGCGGAGTCTCTTGGGATGTCTCTTGGGAGCCTCTTTGAGGTCTCTTGGGGCGTCTTGGGGTCTCTTGGCGGTCCCGGGGGCTTCTTGGACCGTCTTGGGTGCCTCTTGGGGGCTTCTTGAGGGCCATCTTGGGGCCATCTTGGGGCCATCTTGGAGCCATCTTGGCGCCACTTGGGGCCTCCTGGGTGCCTCTTGGGGCCATCTTGGAGGAGATCGATCACAGAAGAGGGGTTCCTTAATTCGCGCCCCCCCTCGGGAACCTCCAGAATCGCCTCCTGGACCCCTCTTGGGGCGCTCTTGGAGCGCTCTTTCTTGGGCGCTCTTGGGGTCGTCTTGGGGCTCTCTTGGGCCCCTGTTGGGGCTCTCTTGGGCCCTCTTGGAGCCATCTTGAGGCCTCGGATGGCCATCGGAAGCGAAAACGCGAGAAGGCAAAACTCATTGGTTTCCCCTAGGTGTTTGAAGGATTTTGGCCTCTTGGGAGGCCTCCTTGGGAGGCTCCGTGGCCACTTGGAGTCGTCTTGGGGCGGTCTTGGGGCCTCTTGGAGCATCTTGG